CCCCCCCCCCCCCACAATAGTGATTCCTAAACTTGGCGGTAAAGTCTTAGAATGACTCAAACCCCTCAAGAAAATTTCACATGTGATTTCACATATGAAAATCCCTTTTCGAGTCTGAGGTGTTACGATTCCACAAAAAATTGATGATAATTTCACATGTGAAATTAATTTTCTCATACGATGCTTTAATTTTATAACATGTGCTGAGAATATGCGGCACTAAAATTTCATATCTTATATAAAATTCTGAATTTCAGATAAGATATTGGCATTTTCACAAGTTCAATGTAATTATATTGGAACGTTTTGAGTCGGTTGTCTTTGATGTACCGCCGGGTGCAATAACCAATGAATAAATAATTAGATTAAACTTGTCGACCAAACTCGAAAAATCTTGATCGAAAGTCTTGATTGAAATAAATAAAAACTTGTTCGAAAACCTCCTCAATTAGCTAGGTAAATAAGTAGGTTATAAAATTCGAACATGGGATATAAGTCATATATATTTTGGGTCAATATATGACATATCCCGCGTTCTCAGTTTATAGTATATCGAGCAACCTTAAAGAGGTCATGCAAGCCTGTTCTGCGGATGTGCTATGCGAGGTCCCTCTGATGTGCACAATACCAAAATTTACATGTAGCGTTGTTTCAACATTTTCTAAATTGCATGGAACTCTAATCTATATTCATTTAAAGGAATAGCAGACCAGAACGATGTTAGAAAATACATACATATGATTCAGCTCACTTCCCAAAGAGGCTAATTCAGTGACCGATTCCGTCAAGTATTACGCTTACTTGTATTACCTACTTAGCCTAGACTAATTATCTTTACAACAATTGTGATATTACTTTCTTAACCATACTTATCCTAACCTGCCCTGTCAACTTTCCCTGTGGGAAGAAACCGGAACCGCCCGGAGAAAACCCACGATTTTCCGCAGAGCGTTGACTGACTCACATGGGCCGTGGGAGAAATGGAGAATCGAACCCAGGTTCTCAGAGATGAAAGGCGCTTGCTCTAACGACTGCCCCGCAGAAGCCCCACTTCACTACTCCATCCCCAAGCCTATTCAAACAAGACTTAGTTAATATCACTCCCATAGACGATAGCATCCGCCAACACATCCTTTTACCAACTTGTGTCTTCTCAAAGCCAGAATCAACGCGGGTAAACGGAGGATTTTCGGAATTCAAAACAGATTTCGAAACATCAGGGCACTGGAAACTCACCAATAGCCTTCAAAAGGTTCTGTAAAGAACGCTATCAGAACAAATTGCTAGGTGAACCACAGGCGGCCCAACCTCTGAGTGGTCTATATATTTTGAATATTTATACGGAATATTTAACCGTTATAATATTTACTGTCGATGCAATGGAAGTGTTCAACTTGATAAAATATTGCACCAATTCCTTTCCTCAAGTTGATCAATTCATTTGATAGAAAATTGATCAACTTCCGGTTACTTTTAGATGAGCCAATTAGATTTCGTTTCAGAACTGATTAATATTGACCAATAGGAAACGCACAGGAAGTAAAAAGAAATTTGAATTCGTACGAATTGATCAACTTGAGGAAATGAATTCATGCAATATTTTATCAACACTTCCATTGCATCGACAGTAATAGCGAAATAATTAAAAAATATTAACAAGATATGTAAAAAATATATCTCACTTGTTAATAGAATGCATTTGTTGTGTTTCTGAGTCTAGTTGATGCGATTGCTTTACGTTTTCGTCGTACTTTCGTCGTCTTATTATTATTTTATTTTCGTTCAAATCCTACACATATTTTGAAGCACGCGCACCCTCACATGTCTCAGATCTAGACAGCACGCGCACGCGTCTATTTTGTTCTGTTCTGTTCTGTTCTGTTCTGTTCTGTTTTGTTCTGTTTTGTTTTGTTTTTTTTGTTTTGTTTTGTTTTGTTTTGTTTTGTTTTGTTTTGTTTTGTTTTGTTTTGTTTTGTTTTGTTTTGTTTTGTTTTGTTTTGTTTTGTTTTGTTTGAACAACTCTGTGAACAATGTTCAAGCGACAAGAGTGCGAACGGGACTCTAAGACCCATGCGAGGCACTCTCCCGTTTCAAATAATATAAGATATAATTAAAAAGATAATAATACACAAGTATACATATATACATGATACTCCAATTCACGTAGACAGATACTAACTGGTTAAC